AACGTTGCATTTGCATTCAACACACACCCGGAAAATTGATGAACACGTTGATGATGAGGGATTCGTCTACTTCGTACCCTTTTTTTTTCTGAATTATTATTATAATATGTGAGGGATGTCTTTTTTTTAGTTGCGGCTTTGCTTATATGTTCAAGCTACTGGAGGCTTTTGCAAGTGAGGAGTTTTAACACGCAGGTGTTGCGCAAGAAAAATTCTCTCCGGAACGGAAGGATTCTTGGACTTTTTTTTAAAGCTTCATTTCTTGAATCTAAAATTTTTTAGAACGATCCGAAGAATTTTCGTTGCGATCAGTCTGATTTTATTTTGAAAATGCGTTGCTTTAAATATGGACGCAGGGGAATTTAGGGGATATGCAATAATGCGAATTTCAAGAGGATTATGAATAACTTTCGAAAGTGAAAAACATGAGCTCATTGCTTCTTTTTTTTATAAGAAAAAGCTCTTGTGATTAGCATTTTTTCTGCACGCGGTTAGAAAAAATGTGACCGCAAAGTGGCCCAGTCAAGCAAGAAACCTTTTAATTTTAGTATTTCCTATTATTAAATGTATTTTACACAAACGTCTCACCATCCCTTATCTTATGAACTGTGCTATTTAACAGATGTTGGTTTTCGAGCATTTCCATGTTTAAAAAGTTGACATCTCCACTGGTGAAACTTTTATAGGACTTCGGTGTCATCAAGAATGTGTCGTTGTATCAGGAAAATGTTAGAAGTCAATCTTCAAATAATCAGTTGCAGTGCAAAAGTGAGTTATATTAGTTTTATTGAGTTATAGCCATTAAAGTTAGATTGTAATCTAAGTGGAAGCCGAAGATGCAGAGATAATTACTTCTATTGTGTCCAGAAGTCAAATAAAATGTCTGCATGTTGAATCTCATTTTCTTATCAACTTCAATGATACTATTTTTAATCACTTCTATAGTTTTTGACAAAAAAATCGGCAAATGTCCGACAAAAATGCAGAAAAAATAGTTTTCTTAGCTTTCAAGATTCCTAAAATATCGGTCAAACAAAACCACCTAAAATCTGCCCTTCTTTCTTAATGATCCAAAATTAGTCTTTTTTTTAAATCGCATCATTTATGACAAGATATGATTTGAATGGTTATTCTCCATCGGTAGAGCTCAATTCATTCTAGAGATGTCAACTTTTTGAAGATTTTCAATTTTCTGAAATTTTGGCAGTGCCATGTATGTCTCGAGGCTCTGACTGGACGTTAAAAGTCATTTTTTTCTCTCCTTGGAACTGTCGATCAGTTGAATTGTCTGTATTTTGGGGCTCCACTTTAATTCAAACTGATACTGTATTAATGAACGCACATTATGTTTTTTTTAATATCAGGAGGATTCCCTCCTTTTACGGGAATTAATCGGAACGATATTTAAAAATATTCGGGGGAAACTACTTTTATAACCTCCTTGCGAGAGCTGCGGGTATATTCCGTATATACCTAAAGAATGGTATCCCATACTATATTTAAATATATTAATTACTTATTAAATTCTGTTTATTTCTGCATAGAAAAAGGAAAGCAAGACCCTGTTTGTTTGTTTGTTTATGAAAGATGGTATTTCTGCGTCAGCTTTTCGATCTAAAAAAAAGGAAGATTTTAAACTTGTAATGAAATAATTAAAAGGCGAAGTTCTTGATGCATTATATGAACCTCAGGCCAGCGGGCATGAATTCCTAACCCAACCCCTGGTGACAGTGAAGCATGACCCCCACCCTTCTTTCTGTCATTAAACCATGTCGCGGCCATTTTAAATTGCCCTCCCTAACCCATGCGATGAAGTGATTATACCGCGGGAAAATGAAAGAAGAAATGAAAAAAAAATAGTTTAGGGGGAAACAGAGAAAGAAAAAAGGGGGGATTCCAGACACCATCATCGTCGAAACACAAGGCTATTGTTTGCCCCGGCAGAGACAAAGCGGCGGCCATTTGTCACTCCTTTGTGCATTTTTCGCTCCCCCACCATTCTTTCGATGGTAGTGTTTGGTTGGAACTGCGTCGCAACAGCGGCCATCTTGGAGACACGGTCCATTGGGGACAGCATGCGGACATAATGAAAAAGGAGGGGGGTTTAATAAGAAACTTGGTACTTTGGTGTCCTGAGTTTCCGTGAAGACATCAACCTTGATTCCGGTGCTTTTTCTTCTTTCATTTGACACTGCGATGGAGGAAGAGTTCTTTTTTTTCTTTTTTTGGCGGGCGGACTGCGAATGGAATTCATAATATTGCGTCAAGCTTGGGAAAATGTTCCTCGGGGTCATTATAATGAGTTCATTGACAGCAACAGGGACAAAAAGAAGCACTTTGATGGCGTTGATAATATGCTGGCTGCTGTTCTATACATTTCTTGGGATATATATTTTTTTGTTTCGTTTGAAAGAATTACTAGCAGAGCGACGAGGATCAATCGACGAATTTTTTTCTTGCTTGGCGTCTCTCGTCGATGTAAAAGCTTGATTGTAACATTGTGGCGTACTTTTTAAATATAAATCCTCGATAACTCGAACCTCGGTACGCCGAAAACATCCCCATTTGGATTTTTTTTTCCCGGATCATTGTCTGCATTTTCTTGGAAAAAAACGCCCTAAAAATATCCTAACTTGAAATCTCCGTGACTCGAATTATTATTTTTTGGTCCCTCGACGTTCGACTTGAAAAGGTTCGACTTTAAAATATGGAAATTTAGTCAACTGTATGCATTGAACGCGGATTGATTCAGTATTTTCGTCTCTTATTTTGTATTTTTTTCTCCGTCATTGTCGATTTTTTTTTACCTGAATTTAAATATATTTTTTAAAATTATAATTTCTTCTATGGTGGTTCTTGAGTGATATTTTTCTGGCCCGATTTGATCGTAATTCTTTGCACGAAAATGATTTTAAATAAGGTTGAACATGCATTTTTTTATGCCCATATACCGTACAGTACTAGATTTATTTTGATATTGTAATCGCTGCATTTTTATTCCATTTAAAATCCCCAGTAGTTGGTGAAATCAAGGAAAGTTGTGTCAATTTACGGATGAAAGGAGTTCGTTGATATTTTCAGTGATTTCTTTTGAAGGGGATGTTCTGTATAGAGAAGTAAACATATTCGGAGAGTTCAATGGAAAGTATAATTTGTCTTTTCAGTGCTTTGCCGCTTTGCACATTCAAGTTGTTGCCTATTATCAAAGAAAAACGCGAAATTTTCCATCAATTCTTCACAAATACGGCGAAAAGTTTCATCTGACCCCGTTCGAGATAATCGAGAACTGTATCAGTTCTCGATTATCAGGCTCGAATATGAAATGGTGTGTGAAGCAAAGGAATTTTTTGTGCTGATATAAAATGATCATGAAAAAGGGAAATAAACCAGACTTTTTGGCCGTGCTATGCTTGTAAATGATGGCGTTAGGAATGATTTAGTGAGATGAAAAGAAGAATATGTTTTGGAAATTGATGTTACGAAGAATTTCGTTGGGCTGCAACTGGGGTAAAATTTCACCCTATTCCAAGGTTGTTGTAATTTCTGAGCACACACAAAATATTTGCAAAAGTGCTTGAGTTTTGCGTACAAGAGCTTAGGCAGAAGTGTAGTTTTTTGATAGAGACAGGAATCAGGAAAGCTGTATTTCAAGGACAAATAACAGCTAGTATTAGGATTTGGCAATAAAAAAGAGCCTTGGAGGCTTTCAGAAATGATGGGTGTGAACCAAGGTCTTTCCCAGAAATCCCAGTTCACACAAAGATGAATGAAGAAGAGTATTTTGAGAGATCGGATTTTAGATTTGGCAAGACAAATTGTATTCTGCCGTTTATTTTTGCGACAGATGGGTTTAAAATATAAAGTTGTAAAACTATTCAATTTAGACGTGGTATATTTTATTCAATATTTTCTGGAACTGCAGCGCCAGCAAATTCCTCTGATACATGCTTTTTCAGATGTACAGTACATGCTGGAATTGAGGAGTGAAGTTATTTATATCTTCCAACCTTTTTTTTTTAATAAATGCAAAAGGGAAGACACTTTTTAACCATTACTTTTTCGGTAGTGAACACGTGATTAAAGCTGTCCATTTGAAAATTATACATTTAGTAAATCGATAAATTACTATTTCCTTTTTATTGTACTGCACTTTATGGAGTCGTTTTGTTGCAGTTGGAAACCGAGTTGAAGGGCTTCTCTGAAATTAGAGTGGCTTCAGTATTGAACTTATTACTGCGGATCTTGCAATTTTAATAATTTAATTTTAGATAATAGAAAAGTATAGGAAATTAACACCGAAGTGGCTCACGAACAGAGACTTAACCAAACTTCAAATATGACGAATCCAGATGTGTCAAATAATTCCAACAGCAAAAAAAATGAAGCTGATGTCACTCCGCAACTTTGAAACACGCTTGTCCTTCAGCATCCACAACTTGTCAGTAAAATAGGAAACCAAAAATTTTTTTTAAGGTAAAATGGTTCCTTCAATTGCAAAATATTTTTTTGTGGTTATAATGCTGGAAATTTTTAAATAATTTCTTAATAAATCCTTTTTTAATAAATCTCAGGTGAAATTCTTGCTCGTTCTAAGGATCTAAAAGTTTCAAGCGTGAATGTATTCTACTTCTTATTCAAGTTTTTTTGTGCCTATTTTCAATTCTTTCAGCTTAGAGGGACCCTCAAGAAACAAATCCACAAATTCGTCTTATAACCTGCAAGCGATTTATTTCATCAATAAAATTGCTTTTCGAGACCTGAATCATTAATAATTTATCCCTTCAGCATGACGTTGACCACGGCAATTCTTTGAGTCAGATATTTCAAAAATATTTGTAAATCACGCGTGCTTACGTCAAAATTACGATTATGTGGAACCGTTTCTCTTCTATTCTTTTCGAGTCCTGATTTTTTTGCTTCCTTCAAAAATGAAAGCTCGAGTCAAGTGAAATAAGGAAAATACTTCCCCCTCTCCCCAAATTACACCGTTTTGTGTTAATGAGGAAAAAAGGAGAAATAAAAATTCTGCCATACCTCCAAAAACAACTTTAGCAGGAAGATCATGACGAAGGTTTACACCTGCCGTTTGCCCAGGTTTATTTTTCCACGGAATGAATCCACATGCGGATGACGGGAAGCGATGAAGTGTGTACTCGTTTACATTTGCCCTGGAAAGGGCCATTCAGCAATTTCTGGGACTCAACGCGACGAAGAAAAGCAGCAAAAATGTCCCAATTGTAAACCAAAGAAAAATATCTACACTGCCTTTATTTATTTTTTGAAAGAATTTGAAAATTTAAAATGCATATTATCTGGAAAAAAATTGCAACAGTAACGGGAACAGGTCAATGCATCTAATTAAATTCGTGGTACAAAAAGAATAACATATTGTACTGTTAATTAAATACTGTAGGAATTAAATACTATACTGTAAATTCGTTGCATTCGATATACTGCAGTATAAAAAATTGAATGTTGAATTACTGATTATCGTCCAAGAATTTAACGTGCTTTGAATTTTTTTTTTCATAAAGCGGTTACGGCAACAACGACATTGAGACTTTAAAAAATGTCTTATCCTTCACCAAAACGATAATCACTTTACATCGTAATACAGTAAATAATAATTCTAAGTCCTCTCGAGTCCCATTGCACCTCACTTGGATTTGTTCGGGAATACCGACTTGCGAAATTTTTTTGAAAATAAAAAGAAACGTTGTCCTTTGCAGGAACATTAATAATTTGCGTTAAAAACAAGGAATAAATCCATTCCTCTTATTTTATGAATCAAATTCAAGAATGCAATTCCTTTTTCGTTGATGGCCAAATTCAGATGGTATGTGTTGGAAATTAGATTTAGTGACTTGAAGTCAAGGAAGATTAGCTCAAAGACAGTTGAGGAAATTGTGCAGAAACGACTACAGTAATTTTTTTGGAATTCTGTGGGATCAAGTTTGACCTCAAGTTCCTATGAGGGGTTTCTGCATCCTCAGGGAATTCCTAAAACAAATTAGTCTTCAGGGACAAATTTTGCTAGGAAAAAGGGTTTAAATATGGAATTTATTTATGGATGAATATTCGTTGCTTTCTGGCAGTCTCATTCAATAAAAGACATCCATGCTCTCCTTGAAATCAAATTTTGCTTTTCCAATCCGCGCTTCCTATCCAAAAATGTACCAACCTTACACTAGGGTGTCAAGCAAATGAATCCAGCTGATTATTGTCTTCTTTATTTCTCTTGAGTAAAAGTTTAAAAACTCCATTGAATTTCAAAACTTATAATTCCCAAAAGTATGAATAAATGAAATTGGATTACAGAAAGTAATTTTTTTTTCAAAAATGAGGTTCGCGTACAGCGATATTAATCGCGAAAAATGAGTACTGTATTTCTGGATCCTGAGACACCAGGATCTTCTCCACAACGATAATCCCAGTAGAACGAAACAATCCAAATAATCCTCTCGAGTTTCGTTGCGTAGAGAAACCTCACTTGTATTTCCGACAACAGACCACGGACTTGCGACATTCCATCAAAAAACTAAAAAAAAAATAAAAACATGGAGAAACTGACATCATTCCCAAATTTCAGAAGAAAAAGCGTTGCTAAATTTCGACATGCAATGTGAATACGCACTTTTTTTTCTTTTTAACCCAATCACTGCTGGGTTATTCAGGCTTATACCGTGGCTGTAAATTTTCCGATCGTCCCTCGTTAGAGTAGGTTTGGCTTCGAAAAAAGGCAGCTGGCTGGCGAGCAAAACGTAATCACCAGATGATGGCTAGGCAGCGTTAATCGTTGGTGTCGACTGAACGGAACCCTCCGTGATTAATTGCTCATTGCGAGTCGCTTGCTTCGTGACGTGTACCAGAAACCCCCTGTTGAGAACAGGAATCGTTTTCTTGTTCTAATGGAGGAAAATAAAGAGCAGAAAGAAAACGCAGGACAAGCAAAAAACGAAGAACAAGAAAATGTTACAAAATTCATGCTCGATGGTTGCGTAATAAAGTATGCAGATGAAGGGCTAGTGTGATTAGACGACTTTCAGTTCTAATTTGCCGAATAATCTGGCCATCAATCAAGAGCAAATGTGTTTTTTTTCGAGAATGAGAAAGTCTTCATACAGCTTTCTTTGATCTTGCCATGGGTTTGCAGAAAGGTAAAACCACTGAATTGAAGTGCTCTCACAACGTTGTGGACGACAACAAAATTGTAAGAAATTTTCGAGCTTTTGCCTCAAAAGTTGGAAAATTTTTAGATTTTGAAGCTTGATAGATCGTCTGTCACTGTTATGTTTTTAGTTGTTTTTGTGAGATCAATAAACGCCTTAGAAATTATCTGACGGAGAAGAATCAAGTGCTTTCTTTTATGCGTGGTTTTAAATGCATGAAAAAAGCATTGAAACTTAATCCTATTTTTTTTGGCCAGCTGATTTCAGTGGCTGCAAATTAAAGTCCAAGTGTGCAAATTTATGTTCGAGATTTAAGAGGAAACAAGGAAAACAGAATGCTGATGGTGAATTTTAATAGATTAATCGGAGGAAATTGTTTGACATTTCGATTCGCAACTAGATTAATTTCGCCGAAAACAGTAAAAAGTAATTTTGAAGTTTTATTTCGAACACGTTCTATTATTCTTATTAGGGTTTGGAAGTTTCAAAGGGGATGCACATTTTTTGAAAGGCACACTCTGAGACCATATACTGTACCCTGATTCTTCGAATTTCAAAATTAGAATGAAGGTACCTGAAATATATACAAATGAATGATAAAAATTCGAAAATTTTCAAATTTTAAGTTAATATGAAAGAAGAAACGCCTTACCGATAAATGTTCGGTTTATCTCGTCAATGATTTTTATTATCTGAACGGAAGAATCTGAACCTTCAGAAGGTTCTTGGATGAAAAATTCTTCCTATATTAGTCCTTGGGTCTCCTTGCGAATGTTTCGTCGGTTTTTGCAACCCTCGGGTTCAACTTTTTCCAGAAATTGTTCCAAAGTTTCCGTAGGAAATAATCACGATGACTGGCGTCGACCCAAGGATTGGTCAGATGCTGTACACGTTGGCGACATTTTTCTAAAAATCCGGGGATTCGTGGGTCCGAGAGATGAGAAGCAGATTCAGTCGCAATTTTCTTCTGTTGGCGTAAAAGATCAAAATGAGCTTCCACCTCGTTCACCAAAGGTAAAAATTATATTTTGAAAATATGCATCAAGGGGTCAGTGCGATTCAATTTGCCATTTTGACATTCAAAAGTCCAGCAGAAAAAATTGAAGAAAATGTTGCCAATACAGTATTCTTGGAGGACTCTTCCGGGTTGCAGAAATAAATCGCGGGGGAAACCCGCGGTTGGGCCAGTAGAAAAAGCGTTGTGCAATTAATCGTATAGTGATATGTCTCATATCGTCATTCTTCATAAAATTATATAAAGTGAGACCCCCACATGCTGACACCTCAATCTTCAGACAATTTGACATATAGGGACACTGACTCGACATAGGGACATTTTGTGATACAATTGCAAATACATTTCAGGCCAAATCACAAGAAGCAGATATTACCAACCCTAAAATTGTTGTAAGAAAAGTTCTTGGGCATTTCTCTCACCACTTTACCATCCATTTAGATCATTTAAAAAAAATTACCTCCAGCTTAGAGGGACTTCCTTCTCTCTTTTTCCCTTGAATGTTATTTTTTTTTTACAGAGAATGGCAACATTTATATGTACTGTACAGAGGTATCAGTATTCCATTCCCCGAATTTCCATATTGTGTTGAAATATATTGATTGAATCAGTTTAATTCCATTCCCCGAATTTCCATATTGTGTTGAAATATATTGATTGAATCAGTTTAAAAGTTGGCGACATTTTTCTAAAAATCCGGGGATTCGTGGGTCCGAGAGATGAGAAGCAGATTCAGTCGCAATTTTCTTCTGTTGGCGTAAAAGATCAAAATGAGCTTCCACCTCGTTCACCAAAGGTAATAATTATATTTTGAAAATATGCATCAAGGGGTCAGTGCGATTCAATTCGCCATTTTGACGTTCAAAAGTCTAGCAGAAAAAAGTTGAAGAAAATGTTGCCAATATTCTTGAAGGACTCTTCCGGGTTGCAGAAACAAATCGGGGAGGGGGGGGGGAACCCGCGGTTGGACAGTAGAAAAATTACTGTGTAGTAGTGAATCTAGTGATGTCTCATATATGTTGTCATTCTTTATAAAATTATATACAGTGAGAACCTCCCACATGCAGACACCTTGACCTGTGGACAATCTGCAGGACTTTCCCACAAGAAATTGATAAAAAGGCCCAACATGAGGACACTGACTCAACATAGGGACATTTTGTGATAAAATTGCAAATTGTAAGAATTAAATTGTAAGAACAGTTCTTGGGCATTTCTCTCTCCAATTTACCATCCATTTAGTTGATTTTAAAAATTACCTCAAGCATAGAGGAACTTCCTTTTTCACTTGAATGTTATTTTTACAGAGAATGCCAAAATTTATATGTACTGTACAGAGGTTAAATTCCGCAAATGTCCATATTGTGTTGAAATATATTGATTGAATCAGTTTTAAATTGGGAGACAATTCTTATTTTCATGGAATTATTGTGAGTATTTTGTACATAAAAGGCTAATTGAAAATTATATAATGTTAGTCTAAGGGAAAATGAGACTCAAATTTGGGACATTTCAACTTAGGGAAACTCTTGATACACCAATTATGTCCGCATCTCAGGGTCTCACTGTATTTTGACTTTTATGGGGGATTCATTTAAAAGTCATTATTCTTGCTTTGTGCAGGACTCGTTTTCAAAAGCAGTGCTTCCCCTGTCGAGTGATGTTCGTTTCCGGCGCAAATGTGTCACTGTCTTTAATGGCGTTCGTTTTGGTCGCATACTGGAGCTCATGGACGCCTTTGCTGGCCTCGTGGCGTATCGTTACGTGCTGAATCCTGCGCAAATTTCCCCGAGTCCCTTTGTCCTCGTTACAGCCCTTGTGGACAGAATCGTAACTCGATATGGCCACGGTAATGCACTAATAATGCAGTGGAACCTTTATAACACGAACCTATCGCTATGCACTAAATTTTTTTTTTCAAGTCCAGTGTTCCCCGACTTGTGGTCCGCAGAAGTTTTTTGCTGGTCCACGAGAAAATTTTTTTCACAGGCTGATGAATTTATCAAAAGTAGTATTGAAGTCTGTTATCCCAATTCGAAATTTTGAAAAGACAATGGCAGTTCACATTATTAAGTAGAAGTTGGCTTTTCTCTTGATAGCATTTCAGACATTTTTTACGTGCTGAAGTCCATTATTTCAAGTTTTCAATTGGAGAAACCTTTCTTGAAGCCCATCAATTGATTTTTAAAAAAGACATTCCACAATGTAGCTTCTTTGTTGGTTCCTGACTTAATTTTTTGAATAAATGTTTTTTTCTGAGGACTGGCAGGTATTCCAAGAATTTTTGCTGATTTTCAAAAATTGTATGGAACATTGCCGGTCCAAAGAATTTTTTATGAAAATATGCCGGTCCACGAAAGATTTTGTTGAAATTTTATAGTCTGTGTGCACAACAAGTTTGGGAAACACTAGCTGCCCTACAAACTACGCCTTAAACATTTCTCCAAATCGAAGGCTTTTCCTTCCTCAAACTTCCATGAAGCCCCAATTTTCTGGAGTCTTTCTGACTATTCTTCCATTTGATTGTCACAGGAAAGATAAAAGTGATGAAAATTTAGCCCTCTGTGTTTTAAAAGGAAGTAAAAGACTAGTTGTGCAAATGAACCCTTGCCTCCAGGTTAAGAATCTTGTCAACTCATTTTTGAAAGCAATTTAAGGTTCAAAATATCACCAATTAAACTTTCTTGTAATTCTTATCCCCCCCCCCCCTCAATACAAATTCTTTTTCCCAAACTCAAAACCTTCCTAAGTTGAATTTTATTTGGCGGTTACCTCGAAGCTTGACTTGAAGAGGTTTTCGTCTGTAGCAAATGTGTCACTGTCTTTAATGGCGTTCGTTTTGGTCGCATACTGGAGCTCATGGACGCCTTTGCTGGCCTCGTGGCGTATCGTTACGTGCTGAATCCTGCGCAAATTTCCCCGAGTCCCTTTGTTCTCGTTACAGCCCTTGTGGACAGAATCGTAACTCGATATGGCCACGGTAATGCACTAATAATGCAGTGGAACCTTTATAACACGAACCTATCCCTATGCATTAAATTTTTTTTTCAAGTCCAGTGTTCCCCGACTTGTGGTCCGCAGAAGTTTTTTGCTGGTCCACGAGAAAATTTTTTTCACAGGCTGATAAATTTATCAAAAGTAGTATTGAAGTCTGTTATCCCAATTCGAAATTTTGAAAAGACAATGGGCAGTTCTCATTATTTCATGGAAAATAAAAGTTGGCTTTTCTCTTAATAGTATTTCAGACATTTTTTTACGTGCTGAAGTCCATTATTTCAAGTTTTCAATTGGAGAAACCTTTCTTGAAGCCCATCGATTGATTAAAAAAAATTCCACAATATAGCTTCTTTGTTGGTTCTTGACTTAATTTTTTGAATAACTTTTTTCTGAGGACTGTATGGCAGGTATTCAAAGAATTTTTGCTGATTTTCAAAAATTGTATGGAACATTGCCGGTCCAAAGAATTTTTTATGAAAATATGCCGGCCCACGAAAGATTTTGTTAAATTTGATGCTCTGTGTTCCCAACGAGGTTGGGAACACTGCCCTGGACACTTTGCCGTACACATTTCTCCAGCTCAAAGGCTTTTCCTTCCTCAAACTTCCATATAGCTCAGATTTTCTGAAGTCTTTCTGACTATTATTCTGTTTGATTGTCACAGGAAAGATAAAAGTGATGCAAATTTAGCACTCTGTGTTTTAAAAGGAAGTAAAAGACTAATTGTGCAAATGAACCCTTGCCTCCAGGTTAAGAATCTTGTCAACTCATTTTTGAAAGCAATTTAAGGTTCAAAATATCACCAATTAAACTTTCTTGTAATTCTTATCCCCCCTCAATACAAATTCTTTTTCCCAAACTCAAAACCTTCCTAACTTGAATTTTATTTTGGTGTTACCTTGAAGCTTGACTTGAAGAGGTTTTTGTCTGTTCCAACAATAGATTTGCTGTGGAATGTATTTAGAATGGGTATTTTTGCAGCATGATTCTGGATACGATTTTTTTTTCTTTTACTTAGGCAAGAATTGCGTCGCGGCAATCAGCGCGAACGAAGACATTTTCCTTAGCGGTTTCGTGTCCTGGGTTGGCAAATCGTCGATTGAAATTTTGGTGGATGTTTGGCAGAATGACTCGTTGGTGACAGATGCTGCTTTTGTTTTTGTGTCGAGAGATCCAGTTGGCCTGGGACCTACTCCAGTGAATCCCTTGAAAATTGAGTCCCCCGAAGACCAGCATTATTTTTCGGTTTGTGCGAATCGGAATCCTTCTGCTTGACGCATATGTCAAATATTCTCAATATACTTAGCTCAATTACGGAGTGACAAATGGAGAAGGATAATTTAGACATGGAAAGTGAGAAATAATTAAGGTTTTCAGGCAAAAAGTAGGTCCATAAATATTAAGTCATCATTCCCCTTCCACTAGTGTTCACCAACCCAAGGTCTGTGGACCAGCACAGGTCTTCAGAATTGTTTTGCCTAATTTTCTTTAGAGAAATGTTCAAGTAGCAATGAAGCCTCTTATTTTTATCTGAAATTTTAGGAAGACAATGGCAGTTGAAATTATCTGATGAAGAATAAAAGTAGGCTTTTCTCCTGATTATGCTACAGATGCATTTTCACCTCCCAAGAAAAATTGGTACTTTCCTGTTATCTCAGTACAGTACCTACTTTCTGTGCACCTACCAGAAACTGAATTTCATTTTTCCACATTCTGCTCAAACTGATTTAGGGAGCGGTTAGGTCAAGTTAGGTTAGGTCAGGTTATGTTAGTTACAAATATCTTCAAATTAACATAACCTGACCTAACCTAACCTAAAAAATACTGAATTCACGAGACAAAGAAAAATGGGTACTGAGATAAAACAGGAAAGTGCCAAAAAAGTATTTTTATTTTTAATTCTGAGAAACTTTTCTTCAAGACCACCTTTTTAATTCTTTTGAAAACATTCCAAAAAAGCTGCTTCATTGCTTCTTAACTTAATTTTTGCAACAAAAGCAGAAACTTTCCAAGCGCCCACCAAAAATTTTTTTGAGGATGCGAAAATTTATGAAACTTCGTTGGTCAGCATTCAGCAGACAATTGTTTTTGGAAATTTGCCCATCTGCAAAACATTTTATGGAAATTTCATGTTTTGTGAGCTGAAAAAGATTGGAGAACACTGCATTAGACCAACACAAACGGGTGCAGGATTTTGAGAAACATGATCCATGTGTGTAGAAGGTTTTGTGCGACATCTATACTGAATCAAAACGTATCGCGATCTGAATTATTTCCTCGCATTCACGCGATGAAGAACCTTTTCGGCACATATACGATTAAGTTATATAGTATTTTATAATTTTAAAGAAAGGTGCCGCAAACACCGAGATGCGGAAGCGGTTTGAGGAGAACAACTTGTTTCGGACGTTGCCGAACAAGGAAGAAAGCGAATTGCTCCACAGACAATTTCTCGCTTCCGTCGAGTCGCGTGTGTTTCGAGGGGAAACCGACAACCGATTGGTCGCAGCTAGAGGCGGCATCTATGCGCGAGACACACAATCTGAGAACGTAATGATCTGCCATCCTGAAGACAAAAATTTGAACAACAAGATATTTGGCGGACGAATGATGCGACAAGCATTTGAACATGCCTGGGGGGTCGCTATGCTTCATTGGTACTCACCCCCGTTTTTTATTTTATTTTATTTTTTTCCTACCGGGCGGACTAGCTTTTTTTGCAGTAAAGTATTGCTGTAACTAAAACCAACTGTATTTCAAAACTGTTGAATTGAAATGCTGACCGTGCCCTCGTAAAATTTTACGCGCGGTACCAACATTCTGTTAACTCTTTTTTTAATCAATAATTTTATATTTGATAATTTTAATCATTTTGGACGTACCTCGTTTCAGATAATTCTATTTTATTTCTGGTCCACCCCTGTGCATCAATTTTCCTTTCGAAGTGGTGGAACACAAGAAATTTCTTTTGTTTTTTGTAATATAGCCGTGGTCGACCGAGGTTAGTCTGCATTGACGACATTTGGTTCCGAAAGCCGCAGCTGTATCCAAGGGAGCAAGTTAAACAACGTGACCACTCATCGCTGTGGACCCTGCAAATATATCATGTTCGTTTTTCCGCTTCACACTTTACAAAGCCCATCTACAGCCATTGCTGAAAGGAGGGATAGATTTGTTACACTGAAGACTGTAACATGGTTGTTCGCGTTGACGCCCGAGTGTTGGACCCAACAACAGGACAAGGGGAATTGACCAACACCTTTTACATGACTTTCCGGAGTCACGAAAGAAATAAAGTTCGTCCAGTGTTTCCCAAAAGTTACTTTGGTGGGTTTCTTTTGCTGGCTGAATTTTCATCTACTTCAACTCAATCGCAGCCAAACAAAGATCTAACACAAGACGTAAACCTACCCTTCGCAGTAATACTCTTTCGCAACCTCCGTCACTTCAACCACTACTACTTGACTAAAGCCTAAATTAGGCTTTTTTTTTCATTGGTTCAGTCTCTGCGATTCGGACGATAATTGAGAAACCAGATATAAAATCCGTCAAGAATGCCTGTGAATTAATTCTTTTCAGATGTTCAGGCGCAAGAATTCTTCGTGAAATTAATTTTATATAGCGCAGTTCAGTCGCAAAGTTTCATTTTATGTTGAAATTAAGAGGTACTTTCAGCTGTACAGGTATTTTAAAACTCACGAGTTGCATTGAAAAAGGCGAATTGTTCTTTTTGCAGTGGAAATGACTGTTCCTCATCAACCGGATAAAGGATATTGAACTCTCAGAATTGAGAAGTAGGAGGAAAAAAAGAATACCAACGGTCTTCAAGGTACATTCCTATCCTGCCAAAAGCTTTTATTCGTGAAAAAAACTTATTTTCCAAATAACTCGCAAAGTTGAATTTTACGAGAAGATTTTCAAAGAAATATGGGAACAACATATTTGAAGCTTCATCAGAAAATTTGCTTATTTTTCCGGAGGATTTCTTCGATAAAAACATATTGCTTACAAAATAATTTTGAAACACCCAAAAAAGCCCTTTTCGCAAGAAAAATTATTCCGAGATACTTTTGTCTCAACTTATGGCGCATGATTTTAGTTCATTCAAGTTAATTTTTAAAAACTCACAAACTTTTAATTTTTGAATAAATTATGATATATTTCACAAACGATTTATTTGTGAAAAAAATTCTGGCATAGTTGAATTGAATTGAACAGCAAGCTTTATTTTCCACTTTTCAGTGTTACCAAGGTTCAAGCAATGTTTCCATATCCAAACCCCCTCCTCTCCCACATTCATCCAAACATATTCTTCACAACAGCATGGAAAACAGAGAAATAAGCTGTACATGGATATTAAAATAAAATAAAATCCATCCAAAAAATGCAACCGCACAACTGATATAGTTTACAACAAAATATCAATAATAAGAATTGCAGCAGAAAGCAATTACTATACCCTAATTAAAGCATGTCATGGTGTTCAGCCTGCTACCAGGTAAGGTTTAGTTACAATTTGGAGAGAATCTTTGATGAGAAATCATATTATGTTAACAGATTATCTATGGCCTCTTAAGATTTTGGAAAGAGTCTTTTCATTGAATTTTAAGATTGAGTCCCACTTCTTTCTGAAGCTCATTCTGGTAGCTGTGGAATGCTGGGCATAAGAAAATAAGGTGCTCTGATGATGCATCAACTAATGTATTTATACTGCAGAAATTACACCACGTAGACACCTTTGAAAATTTGATGAATGTTTTATTAAAATGCCATGAGTTTGTCTAAAGAGCTATGGTATCATGAACCAAGGGGATTTTAGATGATATAGTTCATATTTATATCAAATTGCATGTTCTCAAATGTTCATGTCCCATTGATTAAAATGTTGAAGTGAAGATTCTTGCATTTTATTCAGATTCTATATTTCTTTTATGGATGAGCAACTCATTTTCAGTCTCTGTAGGATATTATATTCACTGGCATTTCTTTCTGGTCCCCTGTCTTCCTAAAGAGACAAACAAGGAGCATTCTGCATGACATTGAGAGCTGTGATTCTTTTGATTAACTTACAAAAGAAATTAAAATTGTCATGCATATGAACCTTTGTTGGTCTGAGAAATGTTATACTGTAATGCTTTAAATGAAAATTGTTTAAATTATGCTGATCATTTCTGTGTTCTCTCACAAACATCCAGATCAGGGTACGATCATTTTTTCAGATCCAGAGAATGTGCATGAATCCATAAATTCAGTCTTGAAAATGAAAGATTTTTGAGAAGAAGTCCAAACGCTTGTGTATTTCGCCGCTCCCGAGGCAAAGA